GATTCTGGGTATTTTAAGCATTCTGGAAATGAAGAGCTGAGTTCCATTCCTTCCCCTTCATAGCCAGGGCTTCTGAGAATCCACCCCAAGCTCCGCATTGTCTACAGCCTGCTTAGGACTTGAGTTCACAGTGAGGATTTCCTTGGGGCAGGGTAGTAAGTGAAATGGAGGGCAAGCTGCTTAGAAATCTGAGCTCGCTTTGTCAGTGGGCAATAGTGACATTATCTGCTGTGGCCAGATGAAGATAGAGAACAGAGAAACAGAAGAGCTAAAAGCAGTGTTCCTGGTGATCAGCATGGGAAAGGGAAGTTTGGTGTTGAATTGCATGCCCTTGCAATGTGGGCTTGATTTACTTTTGTCATGCTTACTTTTTGCACACATTCCTCTCGACAGATATCTTGCAAGGAAACTTTAAACCTGATTTCTACCTGAAATACATACAGAAGGATCTTAGATTAGCTATTGCACTGGGCGATTCTGTCAACCACCCAACTCCCATGGCAGCTGCTGCCAACGAGGTAAGAGTTGTTCAGGGTTCAGTTGTGTGTTACTCAGCATTTCTTCAGTAGAATCGTTTGTCAACAGGAGACGAAAATCTAAGAATTACGTCATCTCTAAGACGAGGGAACAGCGATTGAACTATATTTTGACTAGGATGGAATTGAATTTGTTTTGATTGTAGAAGCCCTTAGAATATCATGTCAGTAAACACAGATGGCCTTAACAAGATCTGGTGCGTTCTGATCTGCGCTGCTCTAATTACTTGACATACTATGCAGTTCTCTGGTTTGCAGTGGTCAGCAAAGTAATTTTTCTGCTGGGGAAAGGCTTTGCACAAGAGCAGGCACTGATCCTTTTCTAATTTCTCTTCTCTAGGTCTATAAACGAGCAAAAGCATTGGACCAATCAGACAACGACATGTCTGCAGTGTACAGGGCCTACATCCACTAGGCTGCACCGTTCTTACTGTTAATACTATGATTATTGATTAATATTATTATGATACTGGGTTTTAACTCTGGACCAGTCCATCTCTGTCTCTCCATTTCCTTTTATACACAGACTTTGAGATCTGCCACGGAGGCAGCTGCTGCGGTGAGCCTTCCCCTGGTGGCAGAAGGGGGGGGAGGAGGGGGCTCCGATTGTTGCAGTCTAATTAGAAAAATCCATGCCATGCACTGACAGTCATGGAACAGAACAGTGGCGGCTTGTTCAGAAGCTCTGAGGCAACTCTGCCAGAAATCTGCTGCTTGGCTGCTTTTATTTTCCTCTTTGTATGCTTGTCCAAGATGCTGTTTCTAACGATCCCTTTTCTCTTTTGCTGTGAAATAATGTGTGTGTTGGACTCTCTGCATCAAGGGGACATTCCCATCTACCTGTGAATATCACTAAAGTCCTTGGTCCCAAGTAAGGTGAGGAGCATTCCTGTTAATCGGCCACTGTTAGAGAACAAAGCACCTCCCATGGAGGAGAATGGCAGTTCCAGAAGGTAATGGGGTTGCGTGCAACACTGTCTTGATTCTGTTTCTTTTTAAACTTCCACCTCCCCGGCATTTGATGGAGGAATTCCTTGTACTGTTAAGAACAGATTGCATCCATGTCTTCCCCTGTACAGACAACTTTAGCTTAGGGAACACAAACCTTACTGAAAATGAGAGAATGCCAGTGTAAATGAGCCTCCTAAAAGGCTGATCACAGCTGCCCATCCCACAAACAGCATTGGAGATCAACACGTTTGCATAGAAAACTGCAAGAGGAACATACAGCCGAAAACTGGGCCAGAGATACTTTATTTGGGGAAGGAACAAACCTTAGGGTCGCTCCTGGCCTTAGCTTATGTTGCTTTACTTCTTGCTTTTTTTTTTTTTACCCTTGTAGTCAATAATTACAACGGTGTCTTGGATTGTAGCAGTGTCACAAGCAGAGTGATGAGTCTGAAAGGGACGAGAAGAATGATCGTAGAGCCAAGAGATTGAGAATCCTGAGCTCCTTTCCACGCTCTCTCTGGCCTTTGCATGGTTATTATATCTCTTAGCCTGTTTGCCCATCTTTAAAGGTGGGTGATGATTACCTACCTCACAGGGATATTTTTGTGTACTGATCAGTGATCTTTATACATGTCAGATTTTCCATACATGTTCTTCGTGTTACTACTCTGGGTACAACACTAGCACAGCATGAGACTTTTCCCTGTACCTGTGACTCTGCTTGTGGCCAGATACCAACTTCTAGAAAGACTCGTAAATAAAATGGGAGGCTAAGACCACTGTTGAGCTTTAGTCTAGAAACGTGGGGCTCGAACTGCAGATGCCAAGGCTAGAGAGCAGAGGTGCTCTCAGTGTTGATAGCAGTGCAACCCGGAGTCCAAAGGATGTCTGTCTCTAAAAATGCACAGAGCGTGGTAGGGGGTTTTCTTTTTGTTTTTGTTTTTTTTTTGTTCTCAGTATTAGCCTTTTAGGAGGGTTCTTGCATTTTAGATTTGAGAGTTAGTAAAATGCCAGTAAGAAACTTCATTGGCCAAAATCACTTCAGTGGCACAATCTCCTCGCGTGGGTTGGGATTCGGAAAGGAAAGCAAGCACATTCAAATTAGACCGTGTACCTTTAAATCCATGAGGTCTGCCCCTCCCACCATCTTATTTTTCTAGGAACTTGATGGCTGCGTAGGGAAATTTTCCTGTGGGTTAGGACTTCTTGCCAATCCTGCTTTGTGCAGCACGTGCGTATGGTTCAGGGGCACCTTATTAAGAAAGTATCAGATACTCATTATGAATCACATCTAATGCCTAATGCTGTAAATGTTACTTTGTTGAGTATTTCACCTCCTGTGATCACTATTATTTGTGGGCTAATATTGTGTTACGCATTATGTCCTGTGGTGAACATCTAGTAATAGGTCTGTTAGACATCACTTTGCCCGTTTGTCAGTGGTATATGTGAACAATACTAGTTATACATACATGTTTCTTTGGGCAGTGCAACTGTCATCCTGCATGTAGATAATCATATTAAAGGCACATATAACTACCCAGGATAACCAGCCATTAGCCGGCTTTTGACACACTTGTGCTTCCCCCATCCAGAAGAGCTCAGCTATTAGCATCAGAAGTCCTTGGTTAAACATGCCGCAGTTAAGAAATCACTTACATGAATTGTGTATTGAGGGCATCTGGGGGAAATCGTGTTTTTGGGGGTAGGAGATAAGACCACAGGTATTACAGTGTAAGAAATCTTCCGGGCGGAAGAGGGAGGTACTGTCTCGGGTCCAGCTGAGAGCGGAACTGCGCTGAGCTAGTGCAGCGGCGTCCCCGACCTGTCCCTGCAGAGGTCTCTTGGGCCAGAGTGAAGGTGAACGGGTCTGAGCAAAGGTAATGGAGGATCTCCCTCTTTTTTTACTTTGTGGTGCCTCTGGATAGAGTGGGAATACAGAAGGAGCTCTCAAGTCCTGTGACGTGTATTTCATAGTGAATTCAAAGAACCGTATTTGTGAGAGGGAGAACCACTCCCTAGGCAGCTCACTGCTGCAGGTTTTGTTTTCCAGAAATACCGTAGCTCTCAAAATGGAGGTCGTTACGTATGTGGGAGTGGCAGGTGCAGACTAGTTAAACACTGTAATTTATCCTGGGAAAGTCTGACTGCAGCTTTCTGGCGAGGTAGGTGGATGTGGAGTGGCTGGAGGGTGCGGTGCTGCCCAGCCAGCTGTACAATCACAGATATGCCAGGGAGGAGCAGAAGGAGACACAGAGCTCTGAAGTGGATGCGAAGTGAGGAGGAGGGATGGAAATGGTGAAAACCGGACTATTTCAGATGCCGTTGGAGATTGACTCATGTTGGTCTCACTCGGATTCTTATATTTATGTCTGTAGCCTCTGAACATGGATCTTAATCTGTTCCTAGGCCTGAGATTTGGGGGGAGGGAAGGTGGGGAAGTTGTGGATTGAGAGATGCTCTAATAAAACTGGCTAGTCAATGTTGTCTTAATATTGTTGACAATTCTGTAAAGTTCCTTTTTATGAGGATTTCTGTTTTAGCGATTTGCTTTTTTTGACTCCCTCCTTTTTAAAGAGAAAATGTGACACTTGTGAAAAGCTTGTAAGAAAAGCAGTTTCTTTTTTCCTCAATGATAGATCCTATAGAATTAAGGTTGTGAATTTTTATTTTTTTGCCTTGTTTTTAATTAACGTTTGTCATTCAGAATAGGATGTGTGAAAATGTTTAAATGGCAAAACAAAAAGATTTTTTTGTGCAATTAACAAAGCTACTGGCAAAAAGAATAAAACCTTTCTTGGTAACACAATGTTTTTGTGGCAGTTTCTGAAGCCTATCAAACCTGTATTGTGGCATTAAAGAAATCCCTGCGTTCCTGAAAACATTCAAAAATCAGAGTTGCTGAAAACCAGCGCTATGCCTGAGAGCATTTTTGTCATTGCAGAAGCCTGATCTTGTCAGTGAGGCACTACAAGGGATGAGTTTGGATAAATTCCAGCCCTCCGCATGCAGAGGGCTGCATGCATCTGGACTGAGACAAGGACGCAGGCTTCGTTTTAAAGCAAAGAATGCTGAGAGCTGGAGGTCCAGAACTTTCTGCTGTTGATGACTTCTTGTGTTGCTTAAGTGTTGGGAGCCTGGTGGCCCAATTGGAGTCTCCTTCCTTCTGGTGTTTGGGGTTTTTGAGCACTAACTCTTAGGAGCAGCGAGTGGGGTTTTCCAAGACAAGATCCCTTAGCTGCAGTGTTCGCAAGCTCCAGAATACCGTTTTTTGATGATCCAGGCAGCGCGTGCTGTCAAACAGCAGTAGATGTTCGCGCCCTGAGGCGTGACGGGCTGGTACTGATTCACGGTGTGCTTTAGTTAAAATGAATTACAGGTGCTAAAGTAAGGAAAAACCCGGCATTGCTTTTAATCACTAAACTGAGCGATGGAGCAAGGCCACCGAGTCGGAGTCGTGCTCACAGCAGAAGCTGGCACCGTCGGAAGCTTTCCCCGCCCTGCGAATGGGCGATGCCTTCCCTTCCAGAACCCACCTTGCTGATGGGCGGAGGCGGCGATGCTGTTCACCTGGCCGCCTCTCCCCCGCAGGGCATCCGACGTGAAAAGGAACCCCCCAACTTCGGTGCAGAGACCTCACTGCCAGTATAGATTTATTTCAGTTTCAAAAATTTGAGAATAAATTTGATGAGACTTCCGGGTCTTTACTCATCCTTGAGGATTCTTACGCGTACCTTAGCCGCTGTGCAGCCAGCTGCGGCCGTCAGCCGTGCGGATCGAAAATCAGACTGCAGCAGTAACTTCAGCGTCCGCGCTGCAGCCGTCAGCCCTCGCGACTGGCGGTGGCGGGGGGGTCCGCGGTGTT